TGGGCGAAGTTAGAGTATCAGCCATAGCCTTTCAAAAGTTGACCTCTAAGAACCAGTTAGGTACAGGGGATGTTTTAAAAAGTCATTCCAAACCAAGTCATGCCTACCTCTGGACTTGGAGAAGGTGGATACAGTATGTCATTTATTCCCTAGGTACTTTTTCTGTAGATCTATACTGTTAGGTAGGGTCTATGGTAAAGGTTAGGTCTGGTTAGAGTTAGTAGGTTGAATAACAGTCAGAAGTACCAGTAAATCTCAAAGTACAATGACCTATAGTCACCTGAATGAATCCATCTCTTGCTCATGGTATGATTTCTCTATGGATCTTTTTAGATTTGTTTATTGGGGATAGAAGGCTCCGAGCCTATGTCAATGTTTTTCTAGTAAATTTCTGTGCTTTTCCAAACCCTTCTTGAATGAATCAATTAAGGTTGCAGACACCAAATTTTCTGGGAGTCGCTCCCAGGGGTTTATGACTCGGTGTGAGAACCAGCACTCCACAGCAATATAGTTTTCCCTTTGCTTTTGAACTCCTGTTATGTCCTCTGAGGTGTTTCAACCTGGTGGGAAGGAGAGGAGACTAGATCAGGTTCGTAGACATTATTTAAAATTTTAAACAATGTAATTAAATCTGTCTGCTTACGGTATGGTAGAGAGAAGGGATTCAAACTGTCCGATCTTTACTCGTATAATAAATTAGTTGTACCGGGAATCGTGCGTGTTGCCTTCCTTTGAACCCTTTCTAGAATATGAATCCCCTTTAAGACAAAGACTGGCTACTTGGATACAATTTTCCAGAGATGTATATAAGGAGGTGAACGTATCTCTGTGCGAACTGCCCATAACTATCCAAAACTACATAGTACGGTAGTCACAGTGACAGTTCATATTGTCTATGTGTAGTGACTGACATTCTTACAAGGCATAACCGACAACTATGTGATATAATATCATGTTTGCAATGTATTTTAGTGAATTTTTCAACGATTATGCGACTTGTTTCTTTCTGAATCTATAGTTTTGGCTATGACGGTTCAACTTTGTCAAAGATTGGATTCTAGGCCTCTGAAAGAGACAATTTTCATGATATCAACGCGTTTCCCAGTCGTTTTTCAGTGTTTATCATGCTATTTCTGATTGGCATTCGCATGCCACGCATCGACTTATGTTTATTTTAAGCAGCGTTTCAGTTCCTTCTGCTCATCTTTTGTGTATTCACGTAATTACTGTTACAGAAAATTCATACACAGCTGGCTACTGTGAGGTATTAGTAGTCTTAAAACGATTGAGAAGAAATATATTAGATATTTCTTAGTATTCTAACGAATCGATCAATGTTTTATTGGTTATTAAGAAGAGAGGTCAATCGGTCATCAGAATAATAACACGTTCCTAAAAAGCTTATATCATTTAGTTATCAAATCAATACTATGCAACCCAGATAATTCTTTAAAATGCACGTATAGTTTCCAAAAAGTTAGCTGGATCTTAGTGATTTTTTAATTTTACGTGGTCAGCTAATACGTTGTCAGCACCGACTTTTGATGCATTCAAAGCTCAAGCAAGCAAATGTCTTCTTCAGCTTCCTGTGATAACCATATGAGGTGCTCATCTTTTCCAACTAGTTTAAGTCTAACTTGTTTATGGCTTGAATTAAATTGTTTTGTTTGATACTTCTAAACTTATTGAGGGCAACTGATAAAAACATGTACTTCTATGTTATTGGCTTGTTCTGTTGTGTTTGTTACTTTACTGGAGTCCTACACTTCAGGTGTAACACTTTTCATATACCAGACAGGCATATAACTGACTGATAATCCTACTCAGTCAGTTACCCAGGTTAATATAGATACAGTGGATTTTGAACTTGTGACCCATTGGCTGAAAACTGAGTGTTAAAACCAGAAACTGACAATAGCCACATACGTTGGTGTATTATTGTCGTTGTAATTGACACTGAATCCCAGTTACAGCTACTTGGAACCACTTGCAATGGCTTTTTTAAACATCGCTTTACCTTACAGTTTATTCTGCAGCTCATATAGAGAATGGGAATCCTGAAATTTGAAAACATTTCGATAAGTAATTTAGCCCAGACTATGCTGACAATATTTTCTGGTTGAAATATTCATAGCTAATGAAGCGTTACGTGTGGTATTATTATTACTACCAATTTACTTTCATCTAACTACTATAACACCCTAGTAAGTCTCCTACTAGCTTTCAAATAAATATGCGTCATTCATACAAGGATGGGTAAATCTACGTTCCATGGCGTCTAAGATACTATCAACTGTCTGTAATTCATAACTTACTTTTCGTTAAGGCATTCAATTTTTCATCTAGTGTGTTGATTGAGATAAAATACATGCGCGTAGGTGGATTATCAATCAATAAAATGGGTCAATTTGTTATTGTCTTTTTTCTTCTCAGTTGTCATCGTTGTTTATTAGTTTTCTTTCAAAGGTACAATAACTACACAGAGAAAATGCAAATGGATATGTGCATAATAGTACTTAAGATTTGTTTTATTCATTTTTGGTTAGTCCATTATGTTTTCTTTCCTTACAACTACCCCACCCCGCGCCCCACCACCGTGTCATTGTTGTATAAAGGTGGACAGTGTAGAAAGCGAACAAGCACTAAATGTAAAACATGTTCTGTTTTAATGTATGTTGATTCGTTACAATCATTCTATATGTGTGACTAACAATATATCGCATAGAGTTTTTCTCTTTTCCATATCACTTTTCACTCACGTAGACACACCATTGAATACTCTAATATCTTATGCAATTCTTTCTATTCATGTGATTGAAGTATTTTCATTGGCCAGAGGACTGTTACAGTATCGTTCAATTATATCACTTATTAAGACTGATTAGCCTAGAGATATTTCTCTAGGGTATTTTTTTGTATATGGCGTGTATTGATTTTGCGTTGTGGTCTCGATACCATACATATATAAGACTTTTGCATCCTTATAGGTCGATGAATACTGTACAAAGTCTAAGACGTTGACACAGTGGTAGAATGCTCGCCACCCCGCAGGTGGTTTGGTCCCCGGTTGACGCACTCCTTTACCTCGCTAGGCCAGTAATGAGACTGGTCGAGCATGAGGCTACCAGTGCCATCCCGTAAAAATAAATAACATTGATTCTGAAACTTCAAGGTCCTAGCCTTGAAGCTTTGTGTTTCATTGGGAACTCAAAGCAGTAAAATCAATAAATTAAATTAATAATAAAAAACGGTTTATTTCTTTTTTTGCTTCTTGGTCCTTGGTTGCTTCAGAAGCAAAAAGACTTGTCCTGAGCATATAAAAGCCCCTGACAATGTGTTTTTTACTGTCCCAGGTACAGGTGGGTACGAATAATCTGAACTGTTGTGTCATTATTCATCCTTAGTTCTCATCAGAATAGCTTATTAAGGCATTTAAATTGTGTACAGGATGAGTACTACTACTAATACTAGCTGTCGAGTCCAACCGAGGTAATATATATTGAGCTAATCATGCTAACTATATTTAGTACTCATATACACTAACCAACTTACACGAAAAGTCATCTTGTTATTATTCTGTTAAATCAAAATTCACAGTATGCTAGTCACAGTGACAGTTCATAATGACTACCACTTTTTTTCAGTTAGTGACAGTGTTTCGATCCTGATATAGAATCTCGACGAAGAATAAGCTAACAGACAAAGAGTAAATAATGGAACATTTGAGTTTGGTTTTCACAGACTTATTGAGTAACTGAGTGTCAAACATGGAACTGAATAGTTCAGGTTACCACACTCCATGTAGTACTTGAAGGTAGTGAAAAGAAATTCAAAAGAACTTTGATGATTAAAATTGTATGAGAGAAAGGATAGTATCATGAGAAAAAAACGGGAGTTTACTGGGTCTGGGGGACTATCAAAAGTCTTAAGTTGATCACACTGAAAATTTTTGAGTGCCAGTACAGAGCGTTTTGCTAAACGATTCAAAGACGCAAGATTATGATTTAACTATGGTCTGAACACATTTTAAGATACCTTATACTGTCAGTCATTCAGATTTTCATGTTAAACTTCAGGTCGTGTAAGCTTCTGTATCCTTGACTTCATTGTTCGGCTGTTTTGATGTCTAACCATCTAGGAATGGAACCAGGATTGTACCAAATCCTATTTGTTAATGGATATTCGGTCAATTAAGCATTATTGAAGTTTTTGTCATTATCAGACATCTGTGTAAATCTTTTGTGTGATATTTCTGTCAATGATTTACCTTGGCTCCAATTTTATTGCTTATTATTTATGGTGTGTAGGCGGATTCCTGACTTAAATGGAACCGAGGCAGTGTGTCCAATGGGTTAGTATCTTGTCCTCCTCTTGGCTGTATCTCATTCTGTGTATATTTTGTTGATAGGATTTTTTTATCCCTAACCAAATCGATCGTCGCACGACAATACAAACTGTGTGTAATTTTTGTCTAAGTAACTGTAGACCACTGTGAAAATATCTCCGCTTTTTTTGGCTTGCTACTAAATTCTTTATCAGTTTGTTTAGGCAATGTGACGTCCAACCAGTAGGTTTCATGCTCAAAGTCATCTCCATCTACCCTAATTTCGTCATTTGAATATGGTACTGTCAGCTATCAGATAACGAACATAACTCATTGCCAAGCACGTAGTTGTCATTCATCTATCTGGCACATTTCATCATGATGATTTGCTTACTTTCATACGTTTAAAATCAATACTAAAAGTTTATTTAGTTTTCACGTTACCTTTCTCATTTTTGTCTTAACAACATCTCACTGATCAATAAAGTTGATGGAAAGATTTCACACTGTCCGCTTCATATGATCTAGTTATTCTTTTTTGTCAGACCAAAAGATATCTCAGCTATAAAAAAAACTTGAGTACTTTTAGTAAAAATGAAATCTCGTTCATTTACACTTTGGTCAAAATATGTGATCTCTATAATGTTTATTTTTACTTTCTGCGTATATTCTACAGCCTATTATCAATGGGTACCTTTCGTTCTTGGACTTCAGTGTATATTCTTTTACATTCCACATATCGCTTGGCAAGCTGTATGTGCTAATCGATCAGGCGGAGATCTATTTGCTCTTGTAAAAGCTGCGGCGGATGCAGCCATCTCTGAACGTGGCTCCCGTAAAAGTCAGGTGAAACGTGTGGCTGAATTCTTGGAGGATATGATTGACGGTCACAAAGATTGTCGACATGTAAGTCTGTAAATTCTAAAATATTACTGTTTGTTTGACGGTAATAATAATGTAATAGAGTTGTGAGTTGTTAAATTGAAACTTACCATGTTAGAGGCCTAAGTCGAGGATACTGGTGGTGCTGAAAGTCACTGGTATTATATCAAATCCTGTGTAATCCCCCCACTGCCTCAGAATTTAGTATTCTAAGAATAGAGCTTAGGTCGTATTATCAAAGTGATTTAACAATTTTACTGTCTTTAACTCTGCAGGCCAGATATGAATTTATTCTCACCGTTTTTTCGCGATTTCGTTTGATTGTGTTTTTCTAACGTGAAAGCTTTGTACATTGTGAAGATACAATTCATTGGCTTTAGTTACTGGGCTCCATGTTTGAATTTCACTTCACCTACCTCAGCTCAGATAACTAGTGAGTATCATCAACCCTCACACAATTACTGTGTGGCTCATAGCCTTGTGCATGAGGAAGTTGTTTCGGATAACTTGGTGAAAAGCTATTCTCCCGCCCTCTCCTTTCTATAGCTATTACGGTCGTTAGACACAATCATTGTGGTGGGTCGGATGGTGCAAGATTTCACCACTTGTAGTTCCCAACTGTTTTTTTTCTTACTATAACATGTTTTCCTATTCAATTCAGGGTCATACTTAGGATTAGGGTTAGGGTTAAGTTGGGGGTTAGGGTCAGGACTAAGATTAATCTTACGATTAGGGATGGATGTCATTTATTTTAATTTGTCTTATTTTCCGCATTTTCCTGGTAAGTAGTATTCGATCTTCTTACTGGAAACTATAGTAATTCAACCGAGGGTTTTTGAGGAAGACTTCACAACAGGACAAGAGAGATAAACGATTCACAGAGGCAGCTCATGTTAATTCACCTCGGTGAATACATGTATAGAAACTAGTCTAACTTAGCAATTGATACTCCTCACTATAACTGGGACGTATTTTCAAGTCATGCCAGAGAAAAATAACCTGTGTAATGTGTTTTCATGCATCTCCTTGTAAACATACGTCATTTTTTGTGCAAAAATCATTTATTGTTGGTCGGTTGAAGAAGGTCACTCGTGCGTTCTCATCCCCCGGGACGCTATTGTTGAACTTTGCCGTCTTGCTTATAGATGTATGTGTGAATGTTTGCGCGCTTGCAGCATTCATTCTGCTACGTTTAGGCAATCAATCAATCAGTCAGTTTTAGTACTTCATGTTACTGTATGACAGTAGACTTTGTCATAAGTGATACCTTGAAGTTAATGAGGTACAAAGAGGTTAAGGAGGTCAGAAATATAATCAGGAGTTGTAAGGTGAAAAGAAGACAAACAAATGAATAATGTCTCGATGGTTTAACAGTATTAGTACTCGCCGGTCACCCAGCAGTCTTGGGTTCGATTCCTGGTCGATGCACTCCTAAATCTCTCCCAGTTTACCGACGTATTGTAAACCCGGATGTAAGGCTAGCAATCCGTCTGCAAAAATAACAGCACCTGCATAGCCTGAAGCTATGTGCTCCTCTCGGAAAGCAAGGGTTGGAAGAAAATTATGTATGTATTATCAGTGTATTCAAGAGATATTTTCTTGTAACGCTGAAATATTGGTGGAATCCAGGACGTGCGTTTCGTCTTATTTAAGCCGCACCAACTGAGTACAGCTGATGGACATCCCTATTGAGTGATCTTGCTCTCACTGGGATTCGAATCTAGCGCACCTAACGTCGAAACGCTGTGGACTGATGGCACAATTCCTGTGCAAATAGGTATCAGTTATCATACGATGAGACTATCTTGAATTTCCGGATGACGATTGAGTTCAATGCACGGAAATGTTACCATTCATTCAGTAGTTTTGTTTTCTCTTCTCCTATAGGGACGCAGAATGAATCTAACCAGACGTGCGTATGATATGTGTGGAATATGCGTCGTTAGTAAACGTCTTGGCACTTGTCTTGTCTTCTCCTATATCTGCGTTAAGTTAATCACTATTATCAATGCTATCATGCAAGTGTACCTCATTCAACGTTTTCTTGGATTTTATTCTGATGGCAGTGTTGGTCAACGGAGTATGCAGCTTGGTAAACCATATGAAGCTAACGGGCAAGGTGAGTATTACAATACAGTCCTACAAAAATAAGTAGACCACTTGACTGACATTCAGTCGTATCCACTGGTTAACTTTGTTCATTTTTATGAAGTTCCACTGATCCCTTAAGAATTATTAAACGACTAATGATTCCCATTTGAATACTGAAAACTCTGTAGGTTGTATACCAATTTTCTACTTCTTAAGTGTCTATCACAATAATTGAATGGTTTATTGGCTATGGCACTTGATTCCCAACGATTGAACTGTGGATCCTGCTCTACCCACTTTAGTCTAGTTGGCTTGATAGTGTCAGTAACCCTCACACAATAAATATGGTTTCCTAGTCTGATATAGAGAAACCCTGCTCAGCTAGATAAGTTCTAAGTAATTTGTACTAATTGAATTCACTTTATCCTGATGAAAATGTAAGAGTGGTATTTCAGAAGCATGAAATTGATTTGTCGCCAGCCAGAGTTTCTTGTTGCTAATTGTTTCTAACTGGCTACTCAATCTTCAGTGTGCAGCCAGTGACGGAAGCTACTGATAAAAGTCACTAACTTGTCGGAAATGTTTTCCGTGACACGCTGGTCAGGTTTCTGACCTGTATAGAAGAAGTGATTGACTGACCGACTTTACATCTGTGTTGAGGATCCGAATGTTGTTGTTTATACTACGGAGTTCAGTGTAGAAGACTTCCAAACTGGTTTCAGGTTGGTGAAGGCGTATATGGCTTTGCCTTTCCTATTCTGGCCAGCTCTGACATCTTCATTCGTTCCTACTGGCCTTGGTTGAAATGATGCTTCGTGGTCAGATAAGTGAAGGTGGCAATCTCTGTGAAATCTCTCCCTTCGATGTTGACTGGTGCTGGTTGTTGTTGTTGTCGTCGCTGTTGGTTGGTTATCTTCATCACCCCCATCTCCTCTATGTTCACTTGTAGTCCTGTCTTCACTGCCAGCCAGCCTCTTCCTCCTGTTTGTTGGTTTTCGCCTGTAAGTTTTCGAGTATGTGTGACATTAAAAAATAAGTCATCCACATGTGAAATCCAGATCTTGTGGAGTCTTCTCATCGGTGGTCCAGCGTACTCCAGCTCACAGTCTGACGCATAATCCAGTCTACCGCTATCAGGAATATCATTGGTGTTAATAGACAGCCCTATCTTACTCCTGTATTCACTTCGAACGCCTCGCTGAGTTTTCCGTTATGGATCATCTGGCACGTGGCAATGTCATATAGCCAGCTGTCGAATGAAGTTGATAAAGACTTGGGGATTGCTCGGTGTAGTGCTGAAGTAGTTTCCAAATTACTTCTCAGTTTACACTGTCTGTTGAAGGCCTTTTCGAAGTCGATGTTTGAAGTTGAGGTAGAGGTTTGACCGCCATTCTATGCCTTGTTCTGTGATGACGATGCATAGAGTTGCGATTCGATCAGCACATGATTTGCTTTTTCTGAATCCAGCGTGTCCCGGGTGGAGTTTTGTATCCAGTGCATCTTTCACTCCTTCCAGGATGATGCGAAAAGCTCTTGCTTAGACCTAAGTCGCCGTCTTTGGAAGTTTGGCGAGGTAGCCCTTCTTCCAATAAGTAGGCACATTTCCTTCCTTCCAAACTTTTTGCGGTAATGGAGGGAGAACATCTTCGCAGTTTCTGGGTCCGTTTTCAGTTCCTCGGGGAGGGAGGGGGTAATTCCGTCCTGTCTTGCTGCCTTCGTGGCCGGCGTTCAGTAGCTTGATCGCACTTAGGATTTCCTGTTTTCCTCGGAGGATCGGTGTCCACCGGCAGTTGTGTGCGTGTTGTTGGTAGTGGTGGTATTCGTGAGCGAGTTGCAGGTAGGTAGTGGTCGATTCAAGAGTCCTTTAAAGGGATCAGTCCATTGTTTTATTTGTTTCTCCTCCTTGCTATTCATACATTATGTCTTTAATATTATAATCAATGTGAATTATGCAAATCATAAATGAATAACTTTCCTTCCATCTTTCTCTCCTGTTTTGCTCTATAGTTGCAGCAATGTCAAATCATGAGAATGAAGATTTAGAAGGTTTTGGATTTGGTTTAACAGTTGCTAATCATATACGCGCTGGACGTGATTGGCCTGAAACAATATTATTCCCACGTGTTGCCTATTGTCGTGTCCCAGGGATTCGATTAGTCGGTGCAGAAAATGCCTATACAGCTCAATGTGCCTTACCTATAAATATGCTAAATGAGAAGATATACATCTTTTTCTGGTTTTGGATATGCTTTTTAATTGCAGCAAGTATTTTCAGTTTAGTATTATGGTTGATTCGAATGGTTATAGCACCAAGACGTAAAGACTTCATTAAACGCTTTCTACGCATTAAGGGAATACGCTCAAGAACTGGTGCTGAAATCACACGGGCTGATTTAGATGAATTCATCGACGATTATCTTCGGCGAGATGGTGTCTTCCTTATTCGTATGCTGGCAATCAATGCAGGTGATGTTATCACATCGGAGATTGTTATGTCTTTATACGAACACTACATAGATAACATTTTTTCAGTAGATAATACACCACAGAAAAGCTTGGAAAAAGAACCCTTGAAGGAGGGATCTGGAATACCACCAAATTATGTGTAATTTCAAGAAGTATAGACTGAAGCAGGGGGATATTTTTTATCTACTATCATTGTATTTTTACAATTTCTACGGAAGAACTAACCTGTGTTCATTGGTGCTAAATAATAAATTATACTATGGACTACTAACATACTCCTACCAATAACCTCTTCCAATCACACCTCAATTCATAATTATATAAGAAGGTGATACTATCACCTACCACCATGTGCGTGTGTGCCGTTATCTATTTGCCTTTATAATAACAAACTCTTCGTCTTCCATTCCTCTGTTTTTATTAAATAAATTAAATAAATGAATTACTCCATGTTATTATATTTATACTCTCTGGACTTTATATTTGTTGTTTTATTATTAATAATCGTAGACAAATTTACACATTAATAATAATTCCACACTACCTATTTTTGAATACACAATTGATTTTTATCGTTTATTTTTATAGTTCTCTTTTTATACAAATATTTTGAAGAGAACGTCGTATCTATCTATAGTTGTGTTCCTTGTCAAGCCTTATTTTTGAAGACTGTCGTCACAGTGTGTGTGTGTGTGTGTCAATACTCAGAATTTCGATGTTCGTGTCTCCACTGTCTACTTTTTCGATACTACTTTTTTTCCATTTCTTAAAACGATTTTTATGTAGTATTTTAACAGTATTATTTTTTACGTGTTACGATCATGCATACTATTGCAACAGCAACAACTACCATTATTACAATTATTATTTATATCCCCCTCTGTTTTTCAATTGTATGGATGACTAACACCCTAACGATTGTCAATTTTTGCAGTTTTACAATCTTGTGTAGTAGTAAAATAGGTCTTTTATCAATGGTCTTCTCTTATTATCTGTGTTTCTTTGGTAACGAGAACGTGGAGTGTCTGTCTGAACAGAGTTTTTGTTGATTATATTGGATTGAAATATCCTGTTTTCTATTTGACTGACAACATGTCGATTCCCCCAGTAAGAGGATGCAATTCTCACTGCAATGTCTGAGGGATTTAGTGGATGATGATGTGGCTAGCAGTGGAACTGGGAATTGCGTATTTCGTCTTATTTTGAAGTCGTTGCACAGAAAGGTGGTCGAAGTGATCTAGTGAATATAACCCTTTGGTGTTTTAAGTGGTACATTTTAGGTCCGGGTTCCACTAGAGACTGCAACTGCATCCAGATGATGAGTCTTATAGCTAGAACTACTAATCCTCGTCTACCAAATGACATGCTACATTTCCCTTCAATACTGTCCGCGTTAACTAAGGTATTAGGCAGAGTCTGGGAGTCAGAGGAAGCCGTCGGGTTGGTGTACGTACTTAATCATCCCGGTATTCAAGAAGGGAGACAAGTCTTCCTGTGATAATCACAGGGGGGATTAAAACAAAACAATTTAGTTTATCTAATACCCCGCCTGCGATGATTGTCAGGTCAAATACATAGATCAAACTAGCAGAACAGGGGCAGTCAGTCAGACTAGCCGAACATAAAAACCTAGCAAAATCTAGATTGGTTGACCCGAATAAGATAAGAAATCTAGAGAATAGTTCAGCTATAGAACTCACCACATGCAATTGCATACAACAGGATGGGATAGTATGACAGTTTTAAAATCTAAAGTTGTGGCATGGTGGAGGGAGAGATTGATAGCAGAAGCTTTGTTTATCGAATCAACTGCAAATCAACACGTGTGATAGGAATGATTCAACACCTGTCCACCCAGATATCTGGAAAATTCTACTATCCCAACGACGTCAAATAGGAGAAGACAAAGAAAACTATAAAACTCAAGTTTCAAAGTCGTGTGATTACAAGTGATATGATTATGAACAATAAATTTTGTTCGAAACGTCATCCAATAAATAATACTGTTTCACTGTGTGATATATTTAGTGAACAAACTAATATCGAATTACTTACTACCACAGTGCCCAAGTTTTACACATACATTAACAGGGGGATCAGCTTGACTAATATGGTATCTAAAGTTGTAGGCTTAATAATAATGCATAGACTAAGCGGTCCACGGGAGGATCAAACACGAGAGAACCAGGCAGGCCTTAGACCTAGAAGAGGGTGTATTGTTCATATCTTCACCCTTCGACAGATTCTGGAATGTAGGCATACTATCTGACCTCTAACAATCGTTATATTTCTTGACCTAAAGGCGGCATTAGATTCTGTCGACCGAACGGGTACTATAGCGATGTTTGGCTGTGAAGGGAATGCCGAGAAAATACATTCCACTGATCAAGCCACTCACTCTACTCGAACTCATGCAGTCAGTCAGGTGAGGGCTTACGACGAGTTGTCATGTGACAGCTGTGATGACAACCAGTGGTGTCTGTCAGGGATGCCCACTGTCCCCATTTCTGTTTAATTTCATCATAGATACACTAATGGACGTAACTGTAACTGACTTCAAGGACTGACCTGCTACCAGGGAATAATCTCGTTGACATAGAATATGCGGATGATATAGTCCTTCTAGGCGAGGACGCTGACAAAATGCAGAGGCTTCTGAACACCTAGAGCTGCAATCTACGAATGTTTGGCGTGCGATTCGCGCACTCTGTCAAATGTAAGATGATGCTACAGGATTAGACCACATTGACTTGCTCCTGGCTTACAGATAGGAAGTGAGTTGGTGAAGCGTGTTGAACACTTCACTTATTTGCGAAGTCGCACCGTCTAGTGCCAGCGGGCTGATGTTTGACGAAATCTCAGTACGAATACAGAAGGCTCGTTCCGCATATATCAGTTTACGCTGTCTCTGGCTAAGACGTGATATGCGACTATCGACCAAAGGACGTGTGTACTACTCAGCAGTCCGCTCCGTCCTCCTTTATGGCTGGCTGTGAGACCTGGCCATTGGAAAGGATAGCTGTCTCTGATCATAGGTGCCTGCATTCTATCTCCCATGTGAAGTGGTATAATAGGTTCAGCAATATTGAGGTTAGGCGTCGAGTGCTAGGCAAGGAGGGGAAATCAATAGACGAGACTGTAAAGTTGCATCAATTGTGAGATGGTTAGGACATATGTTACGTATGCCTAGTCATCGATCACCTTCCTCGATGGGTAATGCTAGCTGATATACGTTCAGGCTGAAAAAGTCCCAGCGGCGGTCAAACCAAAACGTATATATATATATCCAATGAAACTATATGGTTCTTCGATATTACTCTTAATTTTGCCTCATATCTCTGTCTACTGTCTCTATTTTGCATTTCTTTTTATTTTCTCTTGCTTTGTGTGCTAAGTGAAGTGGGGCGACTTGAACTACTGCACAACTGCTGGTACAATGTTCTACATTGAAACTAGTCAGTCGATAAAATCATCTTAATTCTTACTTTGGAGTGACTACGTAGGAATTGAAAGCTTCACCGAAATTTGAAGTTGAGTAGTTCTGTTTGAGCTAACAATTAGCATTTTTTGGTAGCCGATTTTATAGAATACAGTTGCGTACATATGTGAGTCTTATTGTACATATCAGTTGTAATACATAACTGGAAATCATATTTCAAACAATGATACACCCACTGACTGGATGTAGTTTTCATGACAACGGAACACGCTTATCCGAGCCTCTTGCAAAACCAAGACGACATGCAGTAAACCATCACTCGAAAGCCCTCTCTCTTTCCGGGTCTAAGAAACTAGCTCCTAATCAGACGGATCGGTGTTGTATCACTAAATCGCATATTCCCAACAATCATTATTTCAGGTAGTACACAACTGCTTTGACAGTTGATGAATATGTAAACTCTGAGGCTGTAACTAAGCCAATGAGATATATTCATTTTAATGGAAGATTTCTACTGTAACATATAGAAAATCAGAACAAGTGATTCAGCGAAGAGACTCTCTTCAACGAATTTATCATCAAGCTGCATAATCGTTTATATACATGGTTTTTAATAAATTATATCCGGTGAGTGAATTGAATCCACACCCAAGAAAATACTGTACATGAGCTTGGAATTCAAAGGTGACATAGCTTCCGATATCATGAAAAGAAGGGTATCACAGTCCCTGAAAACAACATTCCCTGCTGCATCTCTGAGAATAGCCTTCAACAGTCGACCATTACTCTTCAATAACCTGGAAGACAAGATCCCTCTGTTGGCCAACTCTATGTGCGTTTATCAATACACCTGCTTGTATGGAGCCAGGTATATCGGTCGTTCGACTCAAGTTTTGTCCAGGAGAGTGGAAGAACACTATCGTGCATGGTTACGAAGAGGTGGAAGTGGAGCAATAAGAAGCGCGATCATTGAGTATCTGGTCGATAGTGATCACCCTATCTGTTTAGCCTCTACCTTTAAAGTCATCTTCAAGGTGAAAAGTAATTTACCGAAATCACTACCTACCCGACTCATCTGTATTGCTGAAGCTTTGGCTATCGAAACAGAGAAACCAGATCTCTGTGTTTAGAAAAAGTTCGTTCAACTTCTCGAACTTTCATGGTCTTAATTTCATTGTCCTGAAGTATAGTAATCCCTAATTATATTTTGGCTCTACTTGTTTTGTCTATTAAATTTGTATACTCTTCCTTCATTACGTCAGCCGGTACTGTTACTATTCTCACTTTGAATTGTTTGTGAGGACGTATTAGTCACACCCATTGAGATTTTCTTTACTAACCTTATACACTTACTAATAGTCTGTTTTCACATTGCTATAGTTTTCTGTGTATGTTTTCATACTAGCCTGTTTCCTTTGTACATCCTGCATAGGTCATTTTAATAAGTCACTTCAAAAACGGGTTGAACCCTAGTTTTATTAACTTAACAAAAAACTGTCTACCTTTTGAAAATCAGTCATTGACCTGGAAAAAATAAGCATGACCTTTGGACTTTAACTAGGCTTTGTGTCATCTTTCTACCTTCACAGTAGCCTTGTTTCTATTGTCACTATTCAGTCACAATAAAATTGTAGGATTTGTGTTTACCGACGACCTTGCGGGCAGACCAAATATCGATTATGTCATTAGGCTTTTATCGAAATGTTCTGTAGGTGAAAAGTTTAAGCCTACATTTCTTGCTTAAAGGAAAGGATGTATTGAGATGTCAGGGTACCTGAATTTATGATATTGTCTAATTGGAATCAATGAGTTATCAAATGTTTGCGTTCAAAAGAAAAATGAATTAGTTGAAATGTTTGAAAATTACTTAACAGGACAGATTACTGCTGTAGCAGAATAAGACACGTAGACAAACAATGTAGTTTTCAGGATTTCATCATAAGCTGACATCATTTAGACAACTGTTGGAAAATTTGGGAGTGCTGGACAGCTGTTTCTGTGGTCATAGTCTGAGACTCCTTTGAAGTACGCGCCGACCGCAGGGGTTCGAACCAAGGACATTGTGGTTACAAGGCGACCTCGTAGACCATTAAGGTAATGGGACTCGATCCAATGGCCCATGAATTCCAACTTCTGCCAATTCGCGATATATAGACATTGGCTAGCGGTCGCACCATGTTGTGAATTGGCAGAAGTTGGAATTCATGGGCCATTAGATCGGGTCCCAGTGGCTTAATGGTCTACAAGCTCGCCTTGTAGCCAGAAGGTCCTGGGTTCGAACAGTGGCTGTAGGTGTGTATTGCGGAAGAGTCCCAAACTAGGACAACGGAAACAGCTATCCAGTACTCCCAGGTTTTCCGATGGTTCCCTAACTAATGTCAGCTCATGATGAAATCCTGTAACCAATCAACCAAATCCCTACAAACCAATACTTGAATTTAGTTTTCACTTAGGTTTCTTCAGACCAGAATATTTATTTGATAAAAATGGAATGTTGAGAGAAATTTAATTAGAACTGGGGTAACAGATATACGGTCTTTCTTCCATCCACAGCCTAAGATTATTTGGACTAGGTAGTAGGTACAGCAGAAAGACGCAATAGGACAGTGAGTAATTCCATATTAGCTGGTTTATTAGGTTTATCACATAGTGAAACGGTATTATTTACTGGATGACGTTTCGAACAAAATTTATTGTTCATATTCATATCACTTGTAATCACACGACTTTGAAACTTGAGTTTTATAGTCTTCTCCTATTTGACGTCGTTGGGATAGTCGAA